TTGAAAGGAACAGGTCAGAATTAGGGATGATTAAGCTCACCTAAAAGGAACCAGTTCTAACTCAAGAATTTGGTTAGAAAATTTGTGAATTTTGTACATAATTAGATTAGATTTTGCTCAGTCTCATTCTTTCTCTAGTATACTTTTGTGCCATGTTCTAAAATGTCTCAGTAATATCTAATGATATTATCTTTATTTTCTTGGAAAATTCAGAATTACACAGGAGATTTCTCAGTGAAGAACCTGGTTCATCAAGATTACATGGTACGCATTCTCTACTCTGCATATTTTAAAATAATTATATTTGAATTATGATCAAAAGGAGAGTCCCATTTAATCCTAACTTCCTTGAGCTTATCCGTTACAAAATGAACCAGTTTCATCCAAATAGAGTCCCAAAACTCAATAAGTGCCTAGATTATGGGAAAGTCCTAAACGTCTTTTTAAACTGACTCCCAATTAGATTAGACTTCTGAACTTCTAAAAAGATGTCGTTACCTAATTCAATTCTCCCTCTTTATGGCCTTAGTTGTTTTTTCACTTCTAAATTTCTAGCTGGCAAACAACTCTCTCTATATTCTCTCATCTTCTAAATGCACACATACTCATCTTATCTCATCCTCTAACCATCAATGGCTAACATATCTGGAAATCCCTCATCACCACCCAAAGAATCCACACCCACACCTTCAACCACACATCTCTGTAAGAAAGGAAGATTCAAGATACTTGCTCATAAGACTGTCGCAGGGAGTGAATTATCCAAGAAGTTAGATGAACAATTGAAAGAAAGCCAGGCACAAGAACCCCAAAAATATGAAGAATCATTTAAGTTTGCTACTGATGGGGAAGAAAATGTTTCTTCTGAAATAGAGCAAGTAACATCTGAAATAAAATTACATCTGAAATAATCTTGAAGGTTGCTGAAAATCTGGAAAACAAGTTTGTTCTGGTGGGAACTATTGTTGGGTTGAAATTGGTGGTAAAAATCAAAAAAGAAAAGAAAAAGAGAGTGAAGGTGTTCAAGGTGATGTGAGGGGAAAGGGAAAACAATGAGTGGTTGAATCCTCACCCACTCCTGTGGGTTTGACTGAAGAAACAGGAGATATAATAGTGTGGAGTAAGGATCTACTGGAGAAGAAGAAGATTTAAGAGGTAAAGGGGATAGTGGATCTGGAGAAGCTGCTAAGGGGTTAGTTAGGTTGGGAAAGTATGTTCAATAATCTGTTCCATCAGTACAGGAACCCCTCGAAGACCTACTGAAACGTGTGTCTGACAGCTATAATCCTAAGAGGAAGAAAAGTTCAGGAGTTAAAATCCCTGGAACTGCTAGGGCAAAGAAGAAGAGAAATGTTGCATCTTCCATCTCTGTAGAGACTCCTTCCACAAGAGGAAGAGATACAAAGAGTCAGAAGAAGCAGAGTGAGGCTGACTTGAAAAGTCCTTGAAAGAAAGTAAAATGAAAGTTGTTGCAAAGGGGAAGAAGAATATGAGTGAGCCTGTTGAGGCAATTGAAATTGAGGAGATGTACCTGGTCCTTCATGATAAAGAGATGGAGGTTGTGACTCCAAAAGCAAAGAAAATCAAGACTTCCAAAAAGAAGTCTACTTCAAAACCAAAGTCTGCAGAACCTTCTACCTTGGCAAAAAGAACCAGGTCTTCCATAAAATCTAGAAAAGTGAAAGTAGTGGAGGAAGAAGAGAGTGAAGAAAAAGAAGAATCTGATAAAGAGAAGGATAAGATGGTTAAGTTTAGGAAAAGAACCATCTTGAAAGGTAGACTCCTCAGGGACTTGGAGGAGGAACGCATGATGCTGCTACTGGAAAAGCTACAGCCGTAGGGTTGGAACGACATGGTACTTCAGATGGATGGAAAGCTTGTCAAAACTGAGATTGTCGACTTCATGGAAAATTGGGAGATCATAAATGGCAGAGTCACCAGTGAGGTAAAGGCGGTGACTGTGAGCTTTGATGATAAGGAGTTTAAAGAAATTCTAGGAGTACCTACTGAAGGGTACACTGACTACAAAATGTTAAAATGGCCAAGCCTAGAAAACCTCCTCACTTCACTTGCCATTACAAGAAAGTTTGGTGACAATGAAGAAGAGCTTCAGGCTGTATACAAAAGTGAGATGAGGCCACCCTATAAAGTGCTATTTGAATTTGTAAATAAAGTTCTTCTACCCAGGCAGGAAAGAAGGTACATTGCCTCATTCATGGACCTGGTCCTTATGGAATGCCTGGATAGTGGGAGGCAGATCAATTGGCTTGGGTTTATCATCAAGCTTCTTGATAGGGTTCTAACTGGCACCAAAACTCATATCATACCCTATGGTTTCATTCTCACAGCTGTACTTGCTCACTTCAAGGTACCCATCAAGAAATGGGATGTTAGTACAAGTAAGGATCATTTTAGAGCAAACTCTTTGACTGCTTGTGACTATGAAATCTAGGCTGCTGCCAAAGAACCTGGTTCATCCAAGAAGGTGCCTGCGAATAGCAAAGTGAGAGCCTTGGTACAGGAGAGTAGGGCTAAGAATGCTAAGATTGAGAGGCTGAAGAAGAGGTTGACTGAAGTAGAAACTGAGAGATATGCTCTCAGGGCTGAGCTTGCAAAGGAGAAGGAGAAGAATTAAGGCATTCTTCATGATATGTTGAAGCTACTTCAGGCCAGAAACCAAGAACCTAGTCCTTCCTAGCCTTGAAAACTTCCTAGCTTAGTTAGACAAACCAGTGACACGGATGGGATTTCCTTTTGTTCTTTTTGCACATGATCCAATATCTTTATTTTTTTTTGTGCTTTGTGGATGACTAGCATCAATGATAATTAACTTTTTTTGTGCTCTAACTGTTTGTTAATGCTTATTAGATAGCTAATATCATTAGATTGATATATGATGCTTGACTCCATAATTGCATTTGAAGTAGCCTCAATGGCTATGAGTAATATCTAGTAAAATCTGGTTATCTAACATAATTATATAACTTTTCGATGATGCCAACAGGGGAAGATAGTTTTTGCTTTTTACTTTGTTCTGTGATGTTTATAATCTAATGAAACTGGTCCTTGATGATTAGTGACATTAAAATGGAAAGTATTCTAACATTTTTTGATGTTGAGCTGAATTGAAATAGGGCTTATGCTTATGAAAAGCACAGAGTTTGTCATCATCAAAAAGAGGAAATTTGTTGGCCCAAGTGAAGCTTATTTTGATGATTGACAAAGGAACTCAAGCATGAACCAAGTCCATACACAGTATACATAGACACGGGCAGATTCGAGCACAAGGCATGAACCTAAATGAGATAAGCTTAAGTGGTCATATCTGATATCTCCTGAACTAAAAGGTTGCATAAATGATAAGGAGAAGGACTCCTTACTCGAGAGAACTCTATCCTTGATAAGGGAGGAGTTAGAAGTTGAAGATAACTAGAACTCTTCTACCATGGAAGAGTATAGCATTAGAACTCTAGTTATTTCCTATTCTACTAACTCTATATATTGCAGGATGTTCTCATTTTATAGGCACGCACACACGCTGAAGTTAAACGTGAGTTGAGAGCAAAATATCAAGGTATTTTGCAAATAATTCTTATGTGATTCAAGTGTGCGAACCTAAAGCTACATGAACCAGAAAGAAGAACATGTTCCAAGTGTCTGTCTTTTATTCTAGTTTTATTGTAGTAGGTGTTTCAAATTGTACATTTCAGCTTTATCTAGAAACAATTGCACTAGGTACTCTGAGTGTTGTATTCAAGTTAGAGTTAATTTGAAGTTGTCGCAACAGCTAGATGTTGGTTGCCACAAAGGGAATAGAGGTGATCCTTAGGTTTACAAAGAGTTTTATAAATGTTGTTTTGGCTCAGTGATTTAGTGAAGTGTTGTGAAAAATTCTAAGTAGTAGGTCGTGGTTTTTTCACCTTTTGAGTCGGGTGTTTTCCACGTAAAAATACTTGTGTTCTTTACTTTCATCATTTATTATTCCGCAACAGTAGTATAAGAAACACATAGAAGAACCAGGTCTTTCTATAATCTGTGTACGCAAAAATTGGATATCACACAAATCACTCCCCTCTTGTATAGTATTGAAGTATAAAACATCATAGTAACGCTTGGAAATACTTTTTTTTTCTTCAGGAAAAGAAGAAGATGGTGGTATTGAGTTTGTTTGTTGGAGGGAGAGTATCCGTCTGTATCCAATTAGACATCACAGTTTTGTATGTCGTATACCTTCGAGATATACATTGAGAATAGTTGAATCATACAATTACATGCTATTAATATATACAATATGTGAACTTATACTCCAAAGGTATACAATGTACAAATTGCAAGATATTTTGTAAATAATTTTCCCTGAATAGACAAAAATTGTTATATTTTTTTGACATTTCCGTTAATTTTCCCTTAATTTGAAATTTGAATATAGGCGCCCATTGGCTTGCAGGAGCTGGTTCTTCTTGTTTCCCGCTCGCTGCTATTCCTGTCAACTTGTGTTATTAGGGCACGACATTTCATTTTTTCAGCTTAGCTGCATATTGGACTCATCTAAAACCTTATCGTGATTGAAGGAACATTATATCAGAGTAGTCCAGAAATGATTAAGACCATATCCAACAATTGGCACATATAAAGCGTAGATATTTGTAAAAAGTGAAATTGCAAGTGCTTGAATTTAATTTATTTTTTGTTAATTGGAGAGAACTTTTTAGACCACTTTATAAAGGTAACCCTTACTTCCCCGATAATATACAGAACACCTAGCGTGGCAGAAATAAATTTGGACATACTGCGACAACAAATTAAAGTTGTATATACATTTATGTTCTGCTTCTTGCCCCAAAATTTCCAAGTTGCCAAATTTATTTCCGAGGAAACTTAATATTCTCATAAGAAAAATCTAAACTCGTTCCTTTATTTCTCGTCAATGTTTGTTTTACCGGTTCAACATGGACATTTTGATGCCGAATTATATTGGATAAAAGAAGATTGAGCTCTCATTTTGCAGTGTGGAATAGAATACTGAATACCTCTTCGATCTATATACAAATAATCCGCGACGTAACGCATCCTATACAGAAAGAATACTACTAGCCAGTATGAAATCGAAACTAGAATATGACATCCAAAAAGAATGAAAATTGGTGAGTGCTGAAGAGTGGAAAGCGCCTGCAAGCCTCTGTCAATTTGCACCTTTAGTTAGCGAACGTCGTCTCATGGTATTGTAAATATGATATTTGTCTTTGCACCTTTATTTGTTCATAGAACTTTGCGATAAATTGGTCAGCGTTCATATCAATAGCTTCATCTTCGGGACAACTAATCTCCTCATAGGTCTCGCAGCTTGCATATGCATCCTCTTCATTATCACCATCCTCCCAGTTTAAGAAACTTTTCCTAGGAAAATCATCATCACCATTACCATTGTACATTTCATAATCTTTTACAATCACGATCACGATCGTTGTCAAAGCCAAAGTCAAAATCAACCTGAGGTTTGATGCAGGGGATATTTGGCATCTTGAAACGCAAGGAAGCAGGGCGATGCATCTTAACAGGAATGATAGGGGTGTCATCAAAGGAAAACTCACGCTCCCCATAATGTAATGCACCACCGTACTTGTTGGTATGACGGAGGCTTCTAATGTATTTGGGAAGCAAACGGAGATCGGCCATAAGGTGTCTGTTCTTGAAAATGCCACCTTTTCTTGCCAATAACAAGGCCAGGCGGAGAAGGTTCCAAGCTCTACGAGCAACTACCGATTCCTTCTTCTGAATTTTTGACCTTTCTTGCATGGTTGTCTTAATAGTAGAAGATAGCAACAGCTTAAATGAAAAGAAATGGCAGTGGTTGTAATGGAGTAAAAAATGAGAAAGTGTATGCACTTTCAGAAGATCTCTTTTCCTTTTTGTTCTATTGGTCTTTATGAGTTAATGAAAAGCTTTTTGAAGTGGGTATGTTTGGCAGGGAGAGACTGGGAGAAGTTATATATATACATGTAACGCACATCTCACAAAATTGAGAAAATGAGAGTGAACTCAAAACAAACTACGCGGTTTGAATGATTCAAAATACCTCGAAGAACAATTTAGGCACAAACAAAAATGCAGCAAAAGCTATATAAAAGAAATTTATTAAACTAGGGAGAGAACTTGGTAGGAGGCTTTTTCACAACTCTTGAATCTCTTTACAGCATAGCTACCTCTCTACAAGAAAACAAGTAGTAGCACCCTTATTTATAATACTACAAAACCAAAATCCTATTCCAATATAAATTTGGTAAACAAATCCTAACTAGACATGAATTAAAGAAACTAGTAATTAATATCAAATCTTAGACGATTTAGGAATACTAATTAATCTTGGTTTAATTTCCAACAGCCTCCCTTAAACCAAGATCGTCAAACTTGAGCATGTCATGAGTAACATCAAGCCTTATAGAAGTCAAGTACCTTAAACTCTCCACCAGTTCCCTAAAATATGTAGCATCAACAAAATCATGAGTACCATCTTTAGTCAACTTTAATTATCTTGAATATTGCTCATATATGATTTGTCTTTACTCATGGTAGATCCCTTCAAAACATCATCAATATAATTTTCCATTACTTTGGAATTATCTACTTCTCCGGTTGCCTTGTAGTTGGACTTGTACACCCAATTAACTCCAATTGAACATTCAATGGGTTGTAGAGTAATGCCACCAATAAATATATCATCTTGCTCCTTGAAACATGCAATCTTGAACAATGACACAAAATTTATTTCATCTTCAATATCTATAATCATGTGTTGCAGATCTGGATCTCAAGCTATTTTTGTCTCAACCTTGTGCAGATCATCAGAGACTTTTTCTTGATGAATCATCTTGATTTTTTCGTTAATAGGTTCATCTTCAATACTATCAAATAACTTTTCAAGTGAAACACCAACCTCTTTTGGACAAACGTCCCTTGCAACCACATCTTCCTTTTTAGCAACCAGATAAATTTTTGGCAGATCAATTTAATTATTATTTGACTTCCCTTCGCATTCAATAGAATCTCTATCACAACAAAAATTATATGTACCTTCTCTTCTTTTCTCCTCTATTTCTGAATTTTGGCCTCCTTGATTTATTTTCATCATCTTTGATGTTCCTTATTTTCCTTTTGGTTGTTCATCCTTTTCTTGTGATACCTCCTCCAATGTCTCATCTTTTTGTTGATGCAGTGATCTCTCGTATATCACCAATTCCCCTTCTATATCATCAAGTCTGAGAGTGCTAAGATCTTTAGTAGCCTCAAGAATAACTTTCTTGTTGCTAAACTTTAAACTTAGAGACTATAATACTTTTTCAATAATTTTAACTTCTTCCAAAACTTCTCCATTGGTCCTTAGACCATTGACTATTTCTTCAATTCTTGTAAAATGTTCTTTGATAAATTTTGTTGGTCTCATACGAGCCAACTCAAATTGACTCCTAAACTCTTGCAGTTTCTCCTTCTTTATGTCAGTAACTTTTCGATATGACTTCAACAAGATTGTCCAAGCCTCCTTTGATGACTTTGCATGCAAATATTTTTTAGATACATACAATTCGACCTTAATGGCAAGATAGTAGCGTGCCTTGTAATCTAAATGTCTCTTCTTCTCCAATTGCATAGCTGCATCACCCATCAACGTTGTGCCTTCTAGGGGTTCCTCAAATCCTTCAATCCAATAGACTTAAAAAAATTCTTCATCTGCTGATACCAAAGTTTCAAAATTATTTTTGCCATCAAACACAAAAACATGATAATTAGGTAATAGAGTATCCATACTTTTTTTGGATCTCCTATCGGCTCTGACATGATCTCAAATAGGCTCTGATACCAATTTAAAGGATTCAAAATACCCCGAAGAACAATTTAGGCACAAGCAAAAATTCAGCAAAAGCTATATAAAAGAAATTTATTAAACTAGGAAAGAACTTGGTAGGAGGCTTTTTCACAACTCATAAACTCTTCAATCTCTCTACATTATAGTTACCTCTCTACAATAAAATAAGTTATAGCACCCCTATTTATAATACTACAGAACCAAAAACATATTTCAATATAAAATTGGTAAACAAATCCTAACTAGACATGAATTAAATAAACTAGGAATTAATACCAAATCCTAGACGACTTAGAAATACTAATTAATCTTGGTTTAATTTCCAACACGGTTTGGGGTAAATATCTCAAATAAGAAGAGTGAAAAGCGGAGGAAGTTGGAGTTGAATTATTAGAGGGACCCAAAGTGAACAAGTCCAACTCCTAAGGCTGGCATAGAATCGAAGCATTAATTGTTTAGTACGTTGTTGGGCGGTGCAAACTAGTGGAAGAGGGACCCAAAGTGAATAAGTCCAACTCCTAAGACTGGCATAGAGTCGAAGCATTGATTGTATAGTACGTTGTTGGGCGGTGCAAACTGGTGGAAGACACGAATTGTACGTTGCAATTGGGGGGGGGGGGGACCTACTATAGTTACTAACACTACAAGAAACATTTTTTTTTAAATACAAGAAACTAATAGATGCATAAGATGTGTATTTTCATATCAATTTATGTTTCAACTATGATAAATTACTGTAATGTGAATAAGTATTTTGCAAGGATTTCTAATTCTACGAGGAGCCGTTTGGTTTAAAGAGTGTTGCTCCCACACACACACACAAGTATACGTGGTCGACAATTAATATAGGATTGTAAGTCCAGATATCGTACCCACAAGAACTTGTGATTAACTATCAACTAAATTAAACCAAACAATTAATCCATTCAAGCGAATCCTAAAATTTGAATACTTAACTAAAATTTAATCTAGAGTAACAAATTAAGATATTAAAGAAAACAAGTTGGCGAATTATAGAGACAAATTCAATATGAGTGAATATTCTAGAGCTATGGGTTAGCTAACAATCTCGTTGATTTTTCCACTTAAATCGTCTAATTAATTTATCTGGTTTATTTGTTGATAGAGTTAATATTGCTCGTAGCCTTCTCTCGAAGTACAACTTGCCTATTCAAGCTAATCTAACTCCTGTATTCATATGGAATTAGAATTAAGAAGAACACATTAATAATTCATGTATAGTAACCAAGCAAGGCGATTAGGTATATTCCTATCCTAACCGCAAATCCTCCCCCTCTAAGAGCTAAGATCTTGCTCTACTCAATCTTATATGCAATTTAGAATTCCCTCTCCCGAGTTCAATCCTATATTCGTAGATAATATTCAATTGGTGATCAAGCAATCAAATAATTAAGTGCAAGATTGAACAAAAAAAACAATATGATAAAATAACAAGAACAATTCAAGCTTCACCCAAATCTCTAGAACTAATCAATTAAGAAATTAAAGGAAGAGAAGAGAAGAAAAACTAGGTAGAAGTCTCCTCCAAGCGTGTGGTGTGTGTTCCCACACATGAATTCTCTTTCCAAGTATGTTAGATCTCTCCAAAGTGGAGTATATATCTCAAAAAAATGTTTAGTCTTTCTTTTATATGTGTTGGGTAGGTCTAGGGCCGAAATAATCGTGTCCCGGACGAAATTGGAGAAAATTCACGTCACTGGCGCCCTTGCTAGCGCCAGGCGCCTCCACGGCACTGGCAATTTTTTTTACTGTTTTTGGTGCCACAAGTAGTGCTAGGCGTCACCTGTGGCGCTGAAATGTCCAACTTTCCTGTTTTTGTCTGTTTTGGCTCTAATTTCGCACATATCACCCCCGATTGCTCCCGGATCATTCCTACACATAAAAACACATCAAATTAGTATAAATTAATACATTTCACATCCTAAATCCACGAAACAAAAGTAAGATATGAGGCGATATACATACAAGTATATATACTTTAAGCAAACATCAACACCTCACACTTAGACTCTTGCTCGTCCTCGAGCAATGGGACTAACAAATATACCCCCAACAACGTACATCTCAATTAGGGAAGATCTATTTAATTTTATTTTTTCAACATACACTATACCAATGACCATGGTTGATAGCAACAATTAAACTGTAGCATATGCAATCACTTACACTTCCCTTTACTTATGACATTCTTCACATATTCACAACAAAGATAACATGCTCATAACAATCCTAGCCTCAAAAGCCGACTCAATATCACAATGCACCCATGGCTTGAACACCCAACATCACAGAGAAGTCTAATAATGTAACCTATCCCTCGTGTAACCATGTGCCCTCACAACAAGAACAAGAGAGTATGTTGAATCCATACATTCGAATCTCATGATCAAATATAATTTAAGGACTCACATCTATTAAAGAAAATCTCTCACTCTCACAAAAAAGTTATGTGTGCATGCAAAAAGTACCATATACTTGCCTATAATGTAAATCTCCACTAATATAGGCTCACTAGATCTAAAATAAATTAGGACTTTATATGATCGTAATGTGGGCTAAGGGAGGGATAGGATATATTTAGGATTAGTGGTTCACCCTCCTAAGCACTTTAACACATCACATAATAAACTTTAAGCGCAAATCTTCAATCTAATGCAATTTTACAAACAAGATTGCTCCCAAAATGATTCCCTCTTTATTTAAGCACTACTTTAATTTATACCCACTAGCAAGAACAAGACAACAATTTAATCATCTCAATTTCCCTTCTTTTCTTCGAATTTTTCTTTCTTTTTCTTCTTCTTTTTCTTTCAACTATTCTTTTTTCTTTTTTAATTTTCACTAGTGGTGTATTATTTTACAATAAGTGCACCTTTCTTCTTCTATTGGTTCCACTCAAAAGCCACCCACACTTATTCCTTACTTCTTCTAGCGCTCATTTCACAATTAAAGTTCCATAAGAGGTAATAAGATCAAAATAATGTCAATCAAGAAAAAAAAGGGTATAGGCTCGTAATGTGGGTGCCAAAATAAAATTCTATATGCTCAA